AAAGGGCAATAACTCAAAAAATAAGAAATGCAGAGTACCTGTTCTTGTGCACTGCACTTCTTCTTAATGAGACCTATCATCCTATGAAGTTTCAAGTCCATGGCTTTTATACATTAGGAGAAATGGCCCGGACAAAAATAAAGTATGAAAATTAACAAAGGGCAATAACTCAAAAATTTGGAAGTGCAGAGTACCGGTTTTTATTCACTGCACTTCTTCTTAATAAGATCTATTATCCTATGAAGTTTCAAATCCATAGCTTATTTAGTTGAAGAGAAATGGCCCGGACAAAATTAAAGTATGAAAATTAACAAAGGGCAATAACTCAAAAAATAAGAACTGCAGAGTACTGGTCCTTGTGCACTGCACTTCGGGTTATTGAAAGAAGCATGCATACCAAGTTTGAAGTCAATCAGACTTATAGTGTATGAGTTATGCTCCGGACAAGCTTTAGGGAACGCCGACAACGATGCCGCCGACACAGACGCCTCCGCCAAAAGTAACCCCTATATGTCACCTTTTCAAGGCGACACAATAAAAAATACACACTATCAGCCTGTCTCACCTAACTGATGTAAAATCTCTCTCTAAACGCGCATATTTGCTAGCATAAACATCTGACATTTAAACATGTAGATAAATTTTACACTCCCAACAACAGGTTTATAAATGAAACTGTACATTGAAATATGATACACTTCAGTGTATCACTGACTCGTTGTAAAAAAAAAAAAATGTACAGTAAAACTGTATGATTATTCTGACAGTGTGAAGTATAAAAATCCTTAGAACTAATAACCCCATCATGACTAATAAATATGTGAAATATGAAGACTTTGTGATAAAAAGTTTTCGAGGTAAAAAGTGGAACACTGGACTTTTGTGTTTTATAATATACTGTCAAATCTACATTATTCAAATTGCTAGGGACTGAAAATTTACTTTGAATAATCAATGAGTTTGAATAATCAAAATCCGAAATATAGTGATAGACGACAACTATTCATCTTTGACAAATACGCCAAATTAATAGCCAAAGTACTAGCTGTTTACAACACACTTGTTATCAATAATAATCAATTGAGAAAATTAAATAAACAATAAACAACAAATATGATGCATAAAAAATAAAATTGTATTGGTACTGAAGACATAAATACTTGCATTTTGTTCCACATAATTAATGATGTATCATACATGTAACGTATACACAAAAATTATCGCTGTCATCTTCAAGCGTTAACAGTAACAAAATTGATATGGTGCAAAAACAAGGTACATATTCACAATAAGGATATTTTGTCATGGACATAATGCACCAATTTGAAATAGAAAAGGAATATTTCAGTATCAATATACAAATTAACAAAATTATAATAATAATATATAATATGGTGGTGTTTGCTTATTTATCTGTTTCTTTAAATTGTTTTCTTCTTTTAATTAAGATTATTAAATTGATAACTTTAAACTTTAAAAGAGAAATCACTTGCATACAAATAATTTTCGGTAATTAAAGTTAATTTAGAAACAGGTGTAATTATCAAGATTGTCTAATTTATTTATAATACACGCATGGTTGTTCGAAAATTTTCACAAGTTTTGACAATCAGTGAGTAGATCAGCGGCAATTAGTCTGGCTTCGGTTCAGAGCTGCATCAGTACTTTAAGGGTGTAGTACTGTAAAATTAAAGTACCAGTACCAGTACTTTTATATATTCATCATTATTAGTTTGAATAAATACAAACTGTCAAACAAAATTAACATATATTTGCATAATATTTTAATTAATGATATGTTTTTTTAAAAACAATTATTTCCATTTCATATGTATACACTTCAAATAAAAAAAAATGCAACCATTATTCAGCAAAATAAATGGAACATATATAGTTTAAAGTTTACGTTTTTACAACTTTAATGATTTAACATACTTTTTTACAAACAATAGTTACAACATAATTATATTCATGTCATATCTTTTTGTTTAGTAACCTGTCAACTGTATAAATACAATGCAATCATCTTTCATGTAGTATTAGTCAGAAAAGAAGCATTCAATTAGTGTTTATCATGCTTTTTTACAAGTAAACACAAAGAAAACAACTGATGACATTTTTGTCAAAACCGAAATACTGCCTTTTAATGCAGTAGCAGTACCACTTTTTGAGACAGTAATGCAGAACCAGAGTACCAGTAGTAGCAACATTTTGTGACTGTAATTCAGTATCTGAGTACCAGTACTTGCAAAATCACTGCAGTACCTATATAATGCAGTACCATTACCAGTAATGCAGCTCTGCTTTGGATAGTAGGTTGCGAAATTCTGTCATTGGATAGTAGGTTGCGAAATTCTGTCATTGGATAGTAGGTGTGAAATTCTGTCATAATTGTATAATCAGGATTGAAATTTTATTTAAAAAAATAGGTGGTATTCAGATAATGCATTTCGAATAATACATTTGTATTGATACCAACTTATATTATATAAGAGATAAAAATGGGGGCCACAGATCTACTTTGGATCATGCTGGGTATTTGAATAACGGAATTTGTTGATTTAACAACTAGGTCAGACTGTACATTTTCATTACCAGGACGATACTTGATGTCCCTAATTAAAGAAAAGAAATTATACTCCCACCCAGCCTACGAGGGTTTCAATGTAGGGTGCCAACTATGCCAGCAAGTTCAATTCCCCATATAAACCCCAAAGCGAAGATTCTGCCAGCGACCCTAGGCTTTGAAACATTTGACTAAAATTAAACATATTTATTTAAATTACAAGTACACGTGCAATTTACCTTTCAATAATTTTGCTTATAAAATAAGCTCATGTCACAATGAGTAAAGTCCAAATTTTATCTATTGCTTATTATACAGAACCATTAGCACTGAATATTGTCCCATTTTATTGCTAATTTGTTTTGACAGCACTGTAGTTCATACATCAAAGGCACTTACTGCATGAAAAAAGGCATGCCATTCAGATATCTGATTGGCTAATCACCTTTCCTCAGTACCTGTCAATGATTTTAGTGTCTCACCTCTTTAAAAGTTTCCTTGTCATCCGTAACTATTAAAGGGGGAATCATTACCTAGATAGACTGCAGAGGATAAATCTGTTAGTGCCACTTAACTTTAAATTATAGCAACACAAAAGTTTTCAGTTAAAATATTTAGAAAAAGGTTCGAAGTTTCAGATAAAAGTTAACCCACAATTTTTGTTTGTTTATTATACATAGATCTATATTATTTTGGATAATTAAAGGAAAAAAAGAAAAGGATTATATTAATTATTTATTAGTCAAAATGCTGTCAGGAACGCCACTTTTTTATGGGTGTGCTCGGAGGAACAAATTTCAATGTTAAAAATTTTGGCCTTGGATCGAGCAAGATTTATTATGTATGAAACAATTATTTAGGCATTTCTTTTTCATACTTTCTTTATATCATTCATATGCACGTTGCACCTTTTTACAGCTTTTAAAGTTTAAAACCCATCTCTTAATATTTTTTTACCTGGGATATATCATATTAGTTCATTGGTTGGATTTGGGGCAATGGTGCTAGTGGCATTGATTTGACCTAAACGTGTTTAACCTTGTTTTTTATACCATAAAATATCAATTTAATGCAATGTATACTGAAAAAAAAATTTTTTTTACTGTTATTAATGATCAACATTATTTTTTGTCCAATCACATTGTAGTATTTTCAAATTTCTGCTTAGTCTAACTTTGGTTAATGTGTACTAACTAAATAAAATTCACTTAATCTGTCGTCTAACCGCAGTCTAACAAATTTCAATATAAATGCATTTTATTAGGGAGGAGTTAGAGGTATGGTTTACACTCTGATTTGTAAAATGTCAAGGTTAGCATAACAATGCCAACATAAAAAAAATTAGTCGAGGTCAGGTGTTTCTAAATGTGAGGATACAATCAATTGATTTATTACATAGATATATACATGTTGGGCACGCCCGGCTGTGTATTTTCCAAGGTTTTCAAGAAAAATCATGGAAAAAACCATGGAAGTCCAAGCTTTAATGGCAGTTTTACTAGGAAACCTTGGACAATGTTGCAGTTGTCCAAGGTGAAAGGGTTTTTTTCTAACTTTTCCTTGGACATATTCCATGGTTGTCTGAAAAATTCCTAGGAATCGCTTGGACAATACCTGGGAAAGTAAAACATAGTTTTTTTCAAGCTGGGAAAATGAACACATTCAGATACTTAGAAAATTTTTAGCTTGGAATTCACTTGGAACGAAACACTTAGAAAATTTTCAGCTTGGACAAAGGACTTAGGCAATTTTTCTTTCATTTTTTCAATCATCCTAATGATAATGAATAATGAATTATTTACATTTATTGTCATTATGATGTGCTAGAAGGAAAAGAATATTTAATCCTTTTCAGAAGATATAAATAGACATTTTAAAGAAATATGATCATTTATTGATTTTTGTATTTAATTATTAAATATAAAGTTATTAAAAATATCAAATATAATTATACATGTACATGCATACATATGTATAATACATACATGTAAAAATTTTTAATACAGTATGGAAAATGTTCTGTTGGTTTCTAAGTTTCTAAATGCATGAGTATCTTCCCTGCAGTTTGTATCTTTAGACTTTTTTATTTCTTGACAGCATGTAAGCAACAGTTAAATAATTTTAGAATGCTATTAAACTTTAATATAAGAGTATATGATTTTGTGCCATATAAAATAGTACATTCTCTGAATATTTGTAGACATACATTTAGATTACATTTTACTCTGCCACTTAGTTTATGTGTACAATAAACACATAAATTATATAATAATTATTGCAAAATTTGTTAAATATAATAACCAGCTTGCCTGATAATTTCTTTAAGTCAGGATAAATAAATACTGCAAACAGCAGAATATAACACACAGATCAGATAAGACTAATGATTACCATCTGCCCTTCCTTCTATCTATGCATGACTAATCTGACCTCATGGGGCATTCTGGGATACTGACCGGACTGTTCCATGTGATTATTAAGGGAATCTGAGCATGATACATTTGTAAAAAATCAGTTTAGAAGGACATTAAAACTTTGATTTTTTACACACTTATTATTATTTTCAAATTCTACATTTATTTATCATTTGATATGTTTATACATTCAATAAATGTAAAAATATAATGATGGATGTTATGATTTTTTTTTTGATAATCCCTGTTTCACATTATGATAGACCTGTCCAGACTGAAACCGTTGCAAAATTTGAAATCTCAGACATTCAGTGCTAACCATAAAGGATCTAAGTGGCATTTTAGCTATTTTGGAGATATCATCTTGTTTTTGAATGTTGTGTACATTATTGTGGAATTTTCAAAGAAAACATTTATCTAAATGTGACAAGATTGTGGAATTGTTTGGTTGTTGTAATTGAACTAAGAATGACCTGAGACAGGAAGTTATGCAAGAATCATAGTAAACAGTTTCAGGTAAATAACTTTTAGATACATTTATGATGAAAAATGGTGATTTTAAACAATCAAAATATGTTATGGCAGCAAGCAAAAATGTTTCTATAAAATAAGGTTGATAAAATTATGCTGTGAATAATTATTTGATAATTAGATCTAGATTTATTACCAAAATTATTTAATTATTTCTATACTGAGTCAGTTATTTGTTTAATTTACTTGTAACTGAAATTCCAAGTTAGTATGCTCAACTTAAATTTTGAAGATAAAAAGTTTAAATTAAGGAGAATTCAATGCATTTAATGTTAAAATAGACTAGATATACTGAAACTTTGCTAACTTAAGTTATATTATTCCAGGAACAGCTGTATGGATATGTAAAGTACAGTGATGACTTCTCAAAAGCCAGCAAGCTCCTGTTCAGAAAACTTTATAGTGTTGAAGAATACAGGGGCAGGTGTTTTACTGGCAACAGTACCAACACTAAAACCAAAATCAATTAAGGCCAGCATTGGAGGACACAATATTACTGAAAGTCTTTCATGGTTTGTATAATTTTGTTTCCTAGAATTGTAATCAAATTTGAACATATTAACCTTTTATTGCAGTATTTTACAGTTTTACGCAGCATTAAGTTGCAACTAATGTAGTTAAACTCTAATGTCCTTATAAATAGTTATTCTCTGTATTAATAAGGAAGTCTTATATTTTGTTCTTTTAACCTACTGAGTGCTTATTCCCTTGATAATGATAATATAAGTGCATAGGAAATATAAAATTATGTTGTCGTTTAAAATATATTGTTTAAGACTTGCATTCCTCATTTGTTACTACATGTATAATTAAGTGTTTTGAATGTAGTTTTTTAATGGCAATTTAATTTTTATTTCAGAGTTGATCAAGAGAAAATGGCCATAATAATGTGACTTTTGAAGCTGTCCAGAAATTGACATTGACATTGATGTTACCAAGAGGAATAAAAATTGTTTTAATAGTTATAATATTTTATGTTTTGTATTCTACCAGTGTTACATATAGTGTTTAAAAGTGATGGAGGGCGAGTTTATCAATATGTCAGGGATTAAGGCAACTAGTTATAAGAATGATGAAAATTCCATATCTCAAAGGGGCTATTGTAAGAAAGCAAGAAATTACAAGCATCAAAGATACAGCGTCTATGGCTTTGCAAGATCATGAAGATGTCCTAGTATTTTCCCAGGTTTTCCAAGGTTTTTTTCACTTGAAGAACCTTGGACAATTCCAAGGAAAATAACATTGGACTTCCATGGAAATGTCCAAGCTTTCCGAGGATGTCTATGTAAATGTCCAAGCTTTCCAAGCTTTCCAAGGATGTCCAATGAAAAAACCTTGGTCCCAATACTCCAAGGTTTCCAAGGTTTATGGCATATGTTCATGGAAACCTTGTACAAGCTCCAAGGTTTCCAAGCATTAGTCCTAGGAAAGACCCTGCCATTTTTGTTCTTAATTTACTCTTATTGTATTGAAAAAGTATACCCAATACTCCAAGGTTTTTTCCATGAAAAATTCCCTGATATTGTCCAGGGAAACCTTGGAAATTGTACAGCCGGGCACAGAGACAAATGATTACATATTAACTGTTTTATATCCTTTTAACTCTAAGAAAAATGTCTGTTATAAATTGCTGAGTGTTTTAAACTTTATTTTGTATCAATTAATAATCTTTAATGTATTTTTCTCACATTTTCCATTTATTTTAAAAGGATATACACATTTCATTAACTCCATTGTTTTTACCTAATTGCATCGTTTTCCTCTTCAGATATTTTATAGAAACATGATAGTCTTACTGTAGATAAAGGTATAAATTCTGTGACATTTCAATAAAAATGTGCCTGATTATATGTTGAAAGGGCCATTTATTTAGCTTATCTAAATGTGACATGTGAGAAACTTGACAAGGTGTAGACATCTTGTAGAGCGAAAGGGCGGAGCTATCAGTGATTTAGAGAAATGCCTTGTTTTAGGTTGAAAAAAATAATGTTGATCATTAAATAGGTTAATGTTTGATGTTTACACACTGCCTGCGGCAGGCTTGACCAATTATTTTTGTTAATACGTATTATTACACACTAACCTATACTTATTATAGACAAGTTTGCAACATCAGAGTACGAAAATTATGGGTGTGTCCGTTCTCGGTGTCAAAATTTTCCACCGGGTGGTAATATCGTCGGATTTTCGCATGTAATCAATGCAGTATACATTTTTCTATTAAAACTGACTATGAACCAGGGCTCTCAGTAGGGTCAGAATTTCACGAGTCAAAGACTCTTTGGCCAAAATTTTCATGAGTCAAATTATTTTTTTCTAGTGTCATTTGACTACATGAATCATTTTTATGTTACAAAAATGACTGTATTGGAGGTCATTTTTGGAGATTCCAAAGTCTAAATTGACAGAAAAAATCCATAATTATAAATGTCTATACCCCCCCTCCTCCACCTAAAAAAAACAAATAAAACAAAAAAAAAATGAATTGCTGTGAAAGAATAAAATAAGCAGCAGCTTTTCTGATTAAATGTATAAAATTAAAAATATAAATTTTTTTATCTTTACTGGTATGCTATATCATATTAATTTTAAATACCAAAATGTAACTTGGAATATTTAATGGAAAAAGAAATAACAAATGCACAGGTACTCCAAGTAAATCAAAGACGTATTATAAACCTTTAAAAGCAATCAATAATTGACACCTCAAGTATGTAATTCTTATCAGTTGTGTAGAGCTATTTTTAGCACTGTCAAATTGCAGCCACTGAATTGTCGCGCTTCAGTGCACAGGGTATAAACAATTGCTGTGTGTAAAGCATTTTATACACGGCTTATACTGCCTGTTGACATTTTTAATGAGTGACATTTGAACATATGTAGGATTTGATAGGTAATTAGGGGTGGATTAAAGGTAATTATTATTGAATAGCTGAAAATCCCTTGTGGCAATTGACTCTTGAGCAGATTTTATCATGTGTCAAATTTGTGCATTTCCCGATTTTCACGAGTCAAAACACGGATCCCCGTGTCAATCGAGAGCCCTGCTATGAACAATTCCTTATTTACACGTAAATTACCCGCAGTTAAGCCCGAAAGTCAGAAATCACCCAGGTCCGGAAGATGAGACCGTCATGACATGTACATAGGTCAAATCAATGCCAGATTTGGGGTGGAAATCGCCCACTTTAAATGTTTGCGCCTTTAAAACATTAAAAAGCAACAGTCGCAATTTAGTCTTTCATTAAATAAAACTGAAAACAAGAAAGAAATTAGAATCACAACAATCACAACATTCACATTATTTTAAGAAATAAAATAAGTACACAAACTCACCGTTTGGAAAAAACAAACATCCAGGGCGCGCGGCGTGACCCAAAAGGAATATTGGCGCGAAACTGTACTACCGGTGCAAGGATAGAATACAGTTTGTAAAAAAAGTCCCGTCAATATAATGACATTTTGGTTCCATATATTGCTACTTTGGTATCATATATTGGACAAGTGGATTCATATACTAGCAGCCTATGTTAATATATTGAGAAATTGGTGTCATATAATGTAAAAATCAACATATACATTGACAAAATGGTTTCATATATTGTAAAAACGAATTAATATATTGATAATTCGGTTTTATATAAGGACATCTGGTTCCATACATTGCTACTTTGGTACCATATATTGAAGAATTGGAATCATATATTGTAATAACCAACCCATATATTGCTACTTTGGTTCCATACATTGATAAAATGGTTTCATATATTGTAAAAATGAATTAATATATTGACAATTTGGTTTCATATAAGGACATCTGGTTCCATACATTGCTACTTTGGTACCATATATTGAAGAATTGGAATCATATATTGTAATAACCAACTCATATATTGCTACTTTGGTTCCATACATTGATAAAATGGTTAAATATATTGTAAAAATGAATTAATATATTGACAATTTGGTTTCATATAAGGACATCTGGTTCCATACATTGCTACTTTGGTACCATATATTGAAGAATTGGAATCATATATTGTAATAACCAACTTATATATTGCTACTTTGGTTCCATACATTGATAAAATGGTTTCATATATTGTAAAAATGAATTAATATATTGATAATTTGGTTTCATATAAGGACACCTGGTTCCATACATTGCTACTTTGGTTCCATATATTGAATAATTGGTATCATATATTGTAATAACCAACTCATATATTGCTACTTTGGTTCCATACATTGATAAAATGGTTTCATATATTGTAAAAATGAATTAATATATTGATAATTCGGTTTCATATAAGGACATCTGGTTCCATACATGGCTACTTTGGTACCATATATTGAAGAATTGGAATCATATATTGTAATAACCAACTTATATATTGCTACTTTGGTTCCATACATTGATAAAATGGTTTCATATATTGTAAAAATGAATTAATATATTGATAATTCGGTTTCATATAAGGATATCTGGTTCCATACATGGCTACTTTGGTACCATATATTGAAGAATTGGAATCATATATTGAGAAAATCAACTTATATATTGCTAACTCGGTTTCATACACTGACAGTATGGTTTCATATATTGTAACTGTGGATTAATATAATGGATTCCGGTTAAATAAGAAGGTGTTTTCAATTCATATATAGTCGAAGTGAACTCATATATTATCCAAATGGTTACATAAATTGAAAAAGAACAATATCAGACAGCCATGGCTTTCCATAGATTAAACTGTTACAAGTTTGCTTATATAAATAAACATATTTGTTGATAAGAAATGCATGTATGCATGCATGATAAAATCAAAATGCAAGCCAGCGGCTAAATTGTAACATTAATATAATCTCAAAATCACTGCCAAATGATATACAATAAGTCATTCTAAAAATACTAAATCAAAATGCTTAAAATTTAAACAAAGTAACGACAATCCTGTAATAAAGAAATGCTTACCAGTAGTTGCTTCTGAAAATGCGGTTTACGTACTATTTCATCAACTTCCGGTTTTTTTCTATTTATAGCAAATAATAGGTACCAAAATAATACCCCAATTGTTAACAAGTGATAAATACAGGTATAAGATTACATGCAACACGGTGGCGTATGAAGAAGTATTATGTTACACAAATTGTAGATGTTGTGAATGTCGGTTTAAATTTAATTGTACAATAAATTTATTGTCACAAAGAGAAAATTGGAGGGTATGTATTGTGTACATAAATAACTGCACAGCAAGGACACAAATCTACGTCAGAAATAATACGTAGCCATTTATATATATTTGGTAAACAACCATATATATATTTGGTAAAAAAATCGTGTTTTGACAGACTAACAAAAACCAACTTGTTACATAATTTTGAAGAAAAAATAATCAACATTCATGAAATTTTACGTCAAATCGCAACTTTTGGCTCGTCTATTTCAACAATGGTTTGTAATGGAAGGAGTATTAAAGTCTCAATCATCATGACCAAGAAATGCTTTTATGTTTATTTCTCATAAGTTGTGTGTGTGTGAGTGTGTGTGTGCGTGTGTGCGTGTGTTTGTATAGCAGACAATTAGAGGACCTGAGACTGATTGCACACCAACAAATAGAGGACCTACCTACAGCGTGAGGACTTACACTCTAGTCCTCAAAATGTTTTCCCTTTAAATCACGTATGTAGTGCCGCTACGCTATTCTATTTGAAAATTATTAAGTACTCATATTGACGGGTGTACTGGAGTGGTATACACTTATTACGCACATTTTTCTTTGTCACGTGACTTGACACTGTGCGAAACGCGCACCTGCTATGAATATTCATTATCATCGGGATCGTCAGGCGCTTTAAAAAAATCAAGCGTCTATTCTTGCAACAAGCCGCCATTTTG